GGTTCTCTGTTAATTTGGGGAATAGGGTTATGCTGACAACATCGAGCGAATGGGGTGAGATGGTGACGAAACTCAGTGTACCAAAGGAGTGGAAAGGTTCGTTGCTCATCTCTCTCTCTCTCTCTCTCTCTCTCTTAGCGCATTTACCTTTGAATCTCTCTTTCTCAATCTCATATCTCTTTGTTTTGATGTGCAGAGTGGCAGATTTATGCACTGTTGTTCTGCTTGTTCATGGCATCAGTCATAGCTGCATACATATTCTTCGAAAACTCGGATTCGTTTTGGAGTTTACCAATGGGGAAAGATCAACAAAGACCAAAGATTAGTCTTTTTGGAGATTCATCCACGGCTAAGGAGGATCATAATAGGTGGAACTTGGACCTATAGGAAGACTATGTAAATCCACGAAATCTTTATCTGCTTTCTTTTCTAAACTTTGTTTCACGTTTATTTTGGTTCTAATGTTAAGAAATGTTTTGATTTTTTCATTATTCTGATTTTGTCTGACAATAACTCTTTTGATTCTCAAGCTAAATTCGTTGTCTGACAATAAACTCTTTTGATTCTAAAGCTAAATTTGTTTTACTGTTTTGGCGTCCTGAGACAGTCTTCTTATTAGATTTCGTGATCGACCGACTTATTTTTGTTGCGAATCACGTCTTAGTTTTAAGGGTAAAATAATTAGTTGCAGAGAAGATATTTTCGGTTGCACATGAATCGGAAGTTTCATTAACTTCAAAGCCACATGTAGGTCGGTAGCAATAAGAGACATGATGACGTCACGTGAGTGAGTGGTCCTAACTAGCTTCTTTCTTGTTTTAGCCAACGTCCCATTAGCATTTTTTTACCTTCTAGAAGCGTAAAATATCAAAAACAGTAAAACACTTTAGATTTTCGTTTAAAATGAAAAGAAAATATCAAATATATAACGAATATTGTGTGAGATTATCATATCCTCTGATCATGAAAATCCTGCAAAACAAAACTTAACCCTACGATTGAAACACATTTCAGAGTTTGTGGACCCATAACAATTCAAAGCCATAAAAGCTCAATCTTAGAAACAAAATTAAATTACAATCGATCGGACGGTCCATAGAGATCGTGAATTCAGTTCAGTGTCGGATCACAATAAAGCTGCGTGCTTAACGTTGGAGTTTCTTCGGTTACAAAGTTTTAGTTTTTTGTTCGGAGGGTGTTTTTGATTAGAATAAATATTTGGACTTTTTGTTTGTTTGTTTAATATTGTCCCTTTACGTACGAAACAAAACACAAAGTGATTGCATTCCCGAGCGTGGGGGTCCCAGATTCCTTGTCGCGATCCTCAGAGTCACACACACACACACACTCACACTCCTCACAAAACGATTTTTGGACCTGAATTGAGATTTATATACTAAATTACAGATCTTTATCGTCCAACTTGGGACTGACTGAGTGAGGAAGCTTCATTTTCTTCCTCTGATATTTTTCTCTAAGATGTATTGTCTTCAGAATCTTCCCAGGTTACCTATCTTCTTGCTTTCAAAAATATCACTTTCCTGTTGCTCATCTTTGATTCGATTTGACATTTGTGGTGTTGTTTCTTGATCGTCACTGATTTCAGATCCTCAGTCTCACCTTTGTTAACGGGCTTTGGGGGCAATCAAAGAGATCTTTCTTCGTCGTCTTTGAAGATGCTGGTACCAACTACTTCATCAATTTATTCGATTGATTAAAAAAAAAAAAGCAATTTTCTTTTTTTATCTTTAACTTTTGGGAAACTCCTTTGCAGCTACCGATCAAAGCCAATGATCCTAAATCTCGACTTGTTATACAGGTAAAAATTGGTAGTTTTATTGTCACAGAATGTTGGACTAAATTCGTTTGCTTTGCTATATTTGAAACTTGTGGAAATGCTTAATTTGACTGTAGGTGGTATCAGACTCAAAATCCAGCTCAGAGATGAGTGGTGTTTCCAAGGAGGAAGAGAAATCTGATGAATATAGCCAAGACATGACTCAAGCTATGGGTGCTGGTACGTTTAGATTATATATTTGTCTACCAATTGTGTATACTCGAATATTCATTCATTATGAAGAACACAACACAGAAGTTTCTAATCGAATCACAAAAGACAAGTTTTTTTCACTGGAATACTCTTCTTTCTTATTCTGCTTTATCCAAATGCCTATGTGTTTTCATTTCAGTTTTGACCTACAGACACGAACTAGGAATGAACTACAACTTTATTCGTCCTGATTTAATTGTTGGATCGTGCTTACAGGTTCTTCTAATATCCTTCTCTCAAAAGATAATTTTTTGTTGTTGTTGTTGAAAATGTGATACTTTCTTGGTGTTCTTACTCTCTGCATTCCTTAATTGCTAGACCCCTGAAGATGTTGACAAGCTCCGGAAGATTGGGGTTAAAACCATATTTTGCTTGCAGCAAGATCCGGACTTGGAGTATCCTTCCAAAGCCTTCTTTTTCTGTCCATGCCTGTGATTTTTTTCCCTTTTCATTTTCATTCAGTTTGAGCTAGAAAGAATCAACTGCAGAGTGCCTTGACCAAATACTTGCAGATATTTTGGAGTAGATATACGCAGCATTCAAGCATATGCTAAGACTTGTAGTGATATTCAGCATATTCGCTGTGAAATAAGGTAAGGCCTTGGTAAAATCAAACGAGCCATGATTTTAATTATAGACTACCTGAGAAGGCAATGAGGTCGAATATTCACCATTATAACACACTCACTCACAACCTAAGGCTTGACATAGTAGAAATCTTTTAATGTAACAGAGACTTTGATGCATTTGATTTGAGAATGCGCCTTCCCGCCGTGGTTAGTACACTGTACAAAGCTGTTAAGCGAAATGGTGGAGTTACATACATTCACTGCACTGCTGGAATGGGAAGGGCTCCTGCTGTTGCGGTATGTTGCTCAAACCTGTTACTGTGCTCTTCTCTATTTTTTTCCCTTTTTCTCTCTGTAGCACACCGTTCTTTGTGATGTGAGTCTTCCATGACCATTATTGCATTGCTTTCTAATAATGAAAGAAACAGTGTCTCAGTTCAGTTGGACGAAGTTTGAGTCTGTTGCAAACTGTAGTTGTCTTAAATTTTGGGCATCTTTGAGTTGACCAATAAAGTAATGAACAAGTTTTGACCTTTTGCTGACTAGTACTGAGAATTGGTATTAATTTCGATTACAGTTGACATACATGTTCTGGGTGCAAGGCTATAAACTTATGGAAGCTCATAAATTACTTATGGTAAGATGCTCATATACTTCTAGCTAGTCTCTAATCTCTACACATGTTCAACTAATGTTACTGCCTGTTATATTATGTGAGGAGACTTGGGGATTTTATTCTCCTATGAATCGATGATTATGTTCTACACAATCATCTCTGAAATTATAATATTGCAGAGCAAACGATCTTGCTTTCCGAAGCTGGATGCTATCAGAAATGCAACAATTGATATTGTGAGTCGTCTTTAAGTTTCAAAAATGCATGCACATATGTTTGTGGCTTCTCAGTGTCATTGACTACCATAAGTTACAACAGTGGTCACTAAGTTCCTCGATTCATGACTATTTGTTTTTTCTGGTATTGGACATAAAAGCTTACAGGGCTTAAGAAGAAGACTATTTCTTTGAAACTGAAAGACAAGGGGTTCTCTATAGTAGAAATTTCTGGCCTTGACATTGGATGGGGACAGGTGAATATGTCTTATAATTAAAATGAAAATACTTTGATATCTTGCTTTTAAGAGTTTGGTGTGAGATATACGTTTTAAAGCTAGGATGCAAATTTCTGATTGCTATGCTTAAGAAAGGCCTCTTTGATGAGAAATGGAAGAGATTGGGAGTATGTATATAATGCAAATTTTGTGTTCTTGTTTCTTCACAAATTTTCCTTTCTATAGAGGATACCTCTAACACTGGACAAGGAAACAAGATTTTGGAGCCTAAAGAGAGAATTGCCTGTAAGTCTTCTTAATGAAGTGGAAAGCTTAGTGTCTGCTTTTGTTATCATTTTCCGACAACGACTACAACTCTGAAACGCAGGAAGGACAGTTTGAATATAAATACATCATAGATGGTGAATGGACACACAATGAGCTCGAGCCGTTTACAGGACCTAACAAAGATGGCCATACCAATAATTACGCAAAAGTAAAATGTCTCTTTCTCTTAACATATATAGAATTGTACAAGTTTTTGACGAATGAGTTAATTGCTTTAATGTTGTTGTTTTAATGAAACAGGTAGTGGATGATCCAACGAGCGTGGATGGTGCAACTCGGGAGAGGTTAACGAGCGAGGACCCTGAGCTTTTGGAGGAGGAACGCTTGAAACTAATCCAGTTCTTGGAGACTTGTTCTGAGGCAGAGGTTTGAGAGTTGAGAGCATCCTTTTGACTCTCTCAATGTAGCACTTACTAGTAACAATAAAATGCTTTATGTTGGTATTACATAAAGTTACGTGTATAGCAACAAAAAAACATGAAATTACTTTTACTACGTTCAAGTATAATATACTACACACTAAATCTTTCTTCTTTTAAAGTTTTAGTTACATTTTTTCACCATGTGAAAATCAAGCTCTCGTATGTTTAAAAAGAGTTGGATCCTCCTTACAATTTTCATTTTACTCCAGAAGGATACCTTTTCCACAACAATAAAATTTCATGTCAGGCTATTCTAGACAATTTCTCCTAAAATCAATTCAAAACTAAAACTAAATCTGCATGAATTGATGATACATAACCGTTAATAGTACAGACTAAATCTGCATTCCGGTTCAAGTCGGTTCAGTTTTTATACCAACTCCTACCTTGCAGCTTTCTTTTCTCATATGATGCTCAACCACTTAACATCACTAAGCCCAAATCTTAACACCATCTTAACTTTCTCCGTCACTGTCATAAATTTTCCTTTGAAAGTCTCTTTTTTTTGCTCGTATAGACCATTGTGTTTCATATTATCATTGCAATTAGAACACTTTTCTACAAGAAAAGGTTCTTTGGTGATTCACTTTTTCTATTAGTGTTCTAATTGAAGTTTAAGTGAGGGAAAATTACCTAACATCACTGAGCCCAAAACCTTTTCTTTTTTAGAATAGTGTTCTAAACAAGGTCCAAGGACAATCAGTTTATTACTAACACTCATAACTTGTGTTCTGAAAGTTTGAAAAATTAACCAAATTACCCCGAAAGTTAGGAAAAATAAATGATGATGTACGATTTTACCCCCAAAAGTTGAATTAATTACCCAATTTCCACTCGGACAGTGTTCTGTCTTGTGTGTACTGCGTAGGGTTTTAGACTTTTAGTTCATTTGCGAAGATGACTCGTGAAACTTATTAACCTCTCCTTCTCTCGGTTGCAGGTAAAGCACCTCTATTCTTCCTTTCCCATCTCTTTTTCTCCATCAATGGAGTTTTTGCTTTTCAGTGATTCAGTTGTCCTCTCTCTTTAGTCTTTACTGTGTTAGAATTTCGCTTCGCGTGTTTGTAATCTCTCTGTCTCCGATGTGCCGTGTCCTAAATTAACAATCTTTGTTTGGAAATGATGAACAAAATTTCGCTTCGTGTGTTTGTAATGAGTTGTTGTAATGCCTTTGTTAGTCTGGCCCTGACGTAATTTGAACTCTTCTGCAACAGGATATATATATATATATATATATATATAAATAGAACAAAAAGAGTGAGATCATGCACTCTCTAAAGACGACTACTTGCGCTGGGCAAATATTTGCTCTAGCTAAGCCGCACGATTCTCTAGGCAAGAGGACTCGTAATCGGATTCCCAAGGAGGAGAGAAAGGCACTGGTGGAATCTTTCATTAAGAAGTATGCACCTACTTCCATTTTTCCTTAGCCAGAGAATCTTGAGTTTTTCAATAGTAATTGGTGATATTGTTTTCAGGCATCAAAACCTAAACAATGGGAGTTTTCCTTCGCTTAGCCTCACACACAAGGAGGTGGGTGGATCTTTCTACACTATAAGGGAGATTGTCAGAGAGATAATCCAAGAAAATAGAGTCCTTGGTACTAGTGACCTGATTCTTGAAGGCAAATCGCAAGTTCAAAGTCTGTCAAGTTCAACATTGATGGATCCTGTGCCTCCTTTATCTTTGTCCCCAGACGGATTCCATTCTGCATCAGATCAAAGTAATAATTTTTCTTTCGAGGCTGTGAAGACTAAGTCACCTGAAAACGGTGAAAACATCAACGGTAGCCAGGCTAGCGAGGAAGTGAATGGACATCAACATAACATAGAAGACATAGGGCTGCTCGTACATGAGCCAGTGCCATCTACTGATGTATCTGGGACTCAGTTTGCAGCATCTTGCAGTGAAGAGAATGATACCAAGCATGATGCAGGGCTGCATGATAGGGTGCAGACAGTTAGTAATAGTTTTGCCTCCAAACCTCATGATAAAGAAATCGAGGTGGAGAAGAAAGACAGAGGATTCGAGGAAATACCCTTCTTTGAGTCAGAAGGCACAAAACCTGTTAACGATGACAAAAGAGTGAATGATGCTGGAGCAGTGATGACCGAAATGGTGATTGTGACGAAGAATACTTTAGACACAGTTGATTTGCCAGCAGAAACGTTTCCATCAGGATCTGTGACTTCAACGATGGAGTCATCGGATTTACAGCCTAGCGAGTTGGTTAACGTTTGTGAGGGTGGGAATGGAGCTGTGGCAAAGGTGGAAACTGATAGCAGCACCGTAACTTCAGTTGATCTGGGAGAGATTTCTTCATCCACTTTTGTTGTACCTGAAAAACAGGGGACAGAAGTCATTGTTGGTCAAATGCCAGATCCTGTCTCTGTTCCTACGGAAAAGAAAGTTGAAGAGAAAATTGTAAATCCTGCTTCAGTAGATGTTGAATGTGCTTCAGTAGATGTTGAATGTGCTGATACTAAAGGGACGGTGGTTGCGAATCCTGTGATTGGCAACATCCAGGAGACTAATGGAAGTTTGACAACTGAACAGAAAATGCCTACATCTGGCACTGAGGTAAGCTTAGCCAAGTATATGTTTGTTTTTACATTATATGTGATTACTGGAACTAGATAGTTTTCATGGTGTCCATGCAAGATTGTTCAGCAGGTTGTCCTAGTTTAGTTATGTTAGTTGCATGACTTCTTTGTGGACATCTCCTAATTCTTCCTGTTTGAGTTTAGGATAAAGTATTTCATCATTGTGGCAGAAGAACATTGATGATGGAATAGTCAACCTCTTGAATCTTTTTAGCTGTTTTGGAAGTCAATACTCATACTGTGGGCATTAGGGTGAAACTGCACATATATGTATGGCTGTTTGTTGATTGCTCTTAGTCCTAGAAACTGTGTTTAACGATTTTTCGAATTGTGCAACAGTCTGGAAGTTGTAAGAACGACATAGCCAAATTGGACACTACGAGTAGCCATGCTAGGAATGAAGTCGCAAGTGTAGAGAAGGCAATCATGGAAAAGGGGAAACTTGATGCGTCGGATAGTTCCAGCTCTCAGAAAGGAAACATTGCGCCGTTAAACAGAATCAAACCGTGAGTAAACAAACTCCCAAGTCTCAGTTGTGCTTGTGGGATTTGTTGGTCTTGTGTTTGGCTCTCCAGAGATTTCTCATGTCTTACCTTTCTTTCTTTTTTTCTCGGTGCAGCGAATCGTGGAAAGGGCAATCTAATGCTGCAGGACAAGAAACAAATCCCCTTCTGGCGGTTCTGAAATCGTTTTTGACAGCCTTTGTGAAGTTTTGGACCGAGGAATAATATGTTGTAGAGATATGTTGGTTGAGTTTTAGCAGTTTTCATCAGAGAGAGTTAGTAAGGTTAAAAAGAGATATGGTTTGAAATGTGCTGTACAATTTTTGTGTTGTATGTTATGGTTAAATGTAGTTGAATCATATGTTTAAAAGTAGTTGAATCAGAGATGAAACAGTAAAATTCTGAGGATAATCCTCTCAATACCCTAAAGATCATGAAATTTCAACTCTAAGAACCCGTAAGGCTCGAGGGATTTAATTATCTTCTTTGTTGTATCAAATTTCCATGGAGAATTGGAGCTTACTTTGGTTAGAAACAGACAGGTAACTATTTGAACCACACAAACTAAATGATGCAGAAAACCCGCCACTTCAACGGTGACATGCACCAAAGAAGCCCTCTTTCTGTTTCACTGACTCATTTTATTTGATTATTTAAACAGAGACCACAAGCTTTAGATGCTTAGCAAAATGGAAAAAGAGGCAACAAAGTTGATGAATGGGGGAGTTGAGTCAAAGTCACGCAAGGGCCTTCCTAATTTCCTCGGATCTACTGTGAATTTGAAGTATGTGAAGCTTGGATATATTTACCTTCTCTCTCTTTCCCATACTTTTTGCTTCTTTCTTCCTCCTCTTCTCCTTCTCTTCATCTTTGTTTCTCGGTTTCTCCCAATCTTGGCTTATCCTGTATCCATCTTCTTCCTCCTTCTCTTTTATCATTTTCTTACTCCTTCCTCTGTTTTCCTTCTCGATTTCTCATGTTACCGCCCACCAGATCATTTCAAGGTCACGTCTATTTCACTCTCCAGCTTTCTTCCTTTTCTTTCTCCTTATTCTCATTGTTATTTTGTGGGTGTAAATTCTACAGATCACGAAAAGCGGCTTCATCGAGCTGGCAGTGAAGTCAGGTAACTTCAACGAGACGTCCATCGAGCTTCAAAGAAAAGTGCTGGACCAATCAGGCATAGGAGAGGAGAGCTACATGCCAAGAGTGGTGTTCAAGCCTGGTCACAAGGTCAATCTTCGTGATGGCCGTGAAGAAGCAGCAATGGTGATCTTTGGAGCCATCGATGAACTTCTTGCAGCGACCAAAATCAGTGTAAAGCATATCAAGATCCTGGTGCTAAACTGCGGAGTCCTCAACACCACGCCTTCTCTATCAGCAATGGTGATTAACCATTACAAGCTGAGGCATAACACAGAGAGCTACAATCTTGGTGGTATGGGATGTGGCGCCGGAATCATAGCCATTGATTTAGCCAAAGATCTTTTGAACGCTCATCAAGGCTCATACGCTTTGGTGGTGAGCACTGAGATAGTTAGCTTCACTTGGTACTCAGGCAATGACGTCACGTTGCTCCCACCAAATTGTTCCTTTCGGATGGGAGCAGCTGCAATTATGCTCTCTAGTCGACGTATAGATAGATGGCGATCCAAATACCAACTTATGCAGGTGACAATAACAAAGAAACAGTCTGCTTTGCTCTTGCTCTGATCTCTGTTTTGACTGATGATGATACTAAAACTGAAACAGCTAGTAAGAACCCATAAAGGCATGGACGACACAAGTTACAAGAGCATGGAGTTGAGGGAAGACAGAGAAGGGAAACAAGGACTCTATGTATCTAGAGATGTAATGGAAGTTGCTCGCCGTGCACTCAAAGCAAACATTACAACGCTTGGTCGTCTTGAGCCTTCTTTTGAACATATATGCGTATTGGCATCGAGCAAGAAAGTTCTTGATGAGATTCAGAAAGATCTTAAGTTGACGGAGGAGAATATGGAGGCATCAAGGCGGACACTGGAACGTTTTGGGAATACATCGAGCAGTAGTATATGGTACGAGCTGGCTTACCTAGAACACAAGGGGAAGATGAAAAGAGGAGATAAGGTTTGGCAGATCGGTTTCGGGTCAGGGTTTAAATGCAATAGTGTTGTATGGAAAGCCTTAAAAAACATTGACCCTCCAAGACACAATAACCCATGGAATCTCTGAGGATTGAATATACAAGTGTAGTATTAACATGAATAAAAGGTCTCACCAATGGAAAAAAGTCATTTTAAGTAAAATGCAAAATTCCCACTTTATTCAAATATTATGATTGCATTTGAAAATATCCCTGATGCTGAGATCTTACATAAGGCAAAATACACATCTAAGATCCCCACTTTTTACATATTTTGTAACAGCTAAGAAGTTGTAAGACAACATAGCAGAAGTTGCAAGTGTGAAGAAGTAGCAACCATTTGAAAAAAAAGGGAAACTTGAAGCTTTTGATAGTTCCAGTCTCTTACACACAGATGCTACTATCTGGAGCCACTACACCTTCAAGTTTCCATCCACCAGGTCCAGCCAGTGCAAAAGCCTGTGATCCAAGAGACAAGAATTAGTTCCAAACCAAAGGAAAGAATGTTTAATCTGAAAAAAGGGATTCGAATGTACAAACTTCTTCCCAGGAGTTGCCAAAAGCCTGAAGCAAAGCAGCATTACAAGTTTTCAACTTAACAGAAGCTCCAGAGAGCATGGAGGCTGCTTCTTCCCAACCTTTATTATGCCCCATACACCTATGTAGCAAATTGGGAGAAGAAATGATAACAAAGCACAAGGAAGATGAAGATGCAAACACAAGTCAAAAACAAAACTAACTAACATGATAGTGGTGATGTCAGGGGTTGAATATTTGGTGATAATCTGTTGAAGATGATCGGCGGTTTGGCCATCCATAGCAGCAATGGAGTAAAAGCTGGGGACGAAATTTACATTTGCCTCCATAAAGCCATCTACTTGCGCCTGCATTGACTTGAGTGTCTCCCTAGTGCGAGTCGCGTCACTGTGAAATGAATCAACTTTTTGCATCACGAATATCAAACCACGAAACCAAACTGATATTATTGAGAAAGTAAGGTTTTTGGAATTAAGACCTTGAGAGAATCAGTTGGGGAAGCCAACCAAGTGTGGAGAGGATTTGAGCAACTTTGGCAGCATCGGCTTGCCCGGCTTTAGTTAAAGGACGATCATGGTCTATCGTTGAGAGAGAGAGAAAGAGAGATTAAAAGATTTGATTTTGGATATTGAGAGAGAAAGAAGAAGAGAAAAGAGTACCTCTGAGGGAAAGATGTTCCCAGGAACTGTGAGCGTGACGGAGAAGGATAAGGCGGCGAGAGATTAGCGTTGAAGGAGAAGCAGAGGATTCGGCGGCTGCACGAGACGGAGAAGTTGAGCAGAAGAAATTGGAGCTCCGATTTTGGCCGGAGAAGAAGAAAGGAGATGGACACTGTAAACTAAGCATCGCATCTTATCTCATTTCATCCCCTGGCTTAACTGATTTTTAAGAAACAAATAGTAAAGTTCTTTTTTTTTTTGGGTCAGACAAATAGTAAAGTTTTATTGCGTGAAAAAGGGTAAAAGTTTATCAAAATTATTTAAACAAACGCTATTGGTTTGGGAGAAAAAAAACAATTTGACTAAGGAAATACCTCTGTTTTTTCAAAAACGTTTGAATAAATTTTGATTTTTGTTTCCCATTAGTACACGTTTGTGTATTTTGTCTGTTTTCCATCAAAGTTATAAACTTGATAGTTTAGCTTTCATATCTCAAACTTAAAATGAATACAAGATATAGATAGATACTATGCTCTAATGTTTTGCATTACAAACTCTTCAAAACCGATTCTTTTCAAGTTCTTATGAGGCCAAAAGGCTCTTTGTTACACTACGCCTTATTCACCCGAATCTTCTGTCCTTCCAGCAACTGCAAGTTTTAAACCTCAAAAAAATGAGAAAAACACACAAAACAGATTCTGCTATCTTAGAAGTGAAAGATCAAGAAACTTACAGAGTTGTTAAGAGCCAAAATGGCAGCTTCCACATCTTCTTCTGATGAAAACGTTACAAATCCAAACCCGGTGGATTTGGAAGTTCCAGGTACTCTTGAAACCTTAGCACTCACAACTTTCCCTTTCTCTGAGAACAAATTCTCAAGCATCTCTTTTGTAACAGTCTTTGCTAGATTTCCTACATACACTTTGTAAGGACTATCTACAAAAGCGGAATCTTCAGACTGAAGCAGCGATAAATCAGGAGATGATGATGCTAAAGGTTTCTCTGTGATGTTAGCCTTTACTTCACGTCCTTCAATGGTCTGAGAAATCAAACCAAAGCTTTGTCATTTTCTTCTTTTTCAGAACTTATAAAGTGTTAATGAAGAGATTGAGAAAAAACTCACACTGCCATTCAATTTCTCAATCACAGCATTGGCATCTTCAACTGATTTCATTGTAGCAAAACCAAATCGACGGCTTCTTCCTGAATACTTATCATACATCACCTAATTGAGAAATTCAAACCCAAAAAAACATCAAAATCACAAATTCTTGACAAGAAACTAACTAAAACTTATTACTATGGAATAAGTAAATGTAGCAACTTGAACCTGAACTTTTTCAACGGCGCCGTGTTCTTCAACGATTTTGGTGAGCTGCTCATTGTCCACCGTTCTGGGTATGTTTCCGATGTAGACACGCCTGGAAGATTCCAAATTAGGGTCCAACGCGGCTTTTTCTTCCGTCTCCATTACAGCATGAGGAATGAATCTCATCCTAGAGGAGCTCCGTGGAAGGGAGACGGAGATGGTTCCTGCGAGAGAAGGAAATGGTTTGAGGGAGAAGACATTGGTCTGTGTCTGCAAAGAGGTGAAGGATTCAGAGTGGAATGAGAAGACTGTAGGTTTGATTGAAACAAAAGCTGTGAGGAAAGTAGCCATTGTCGGAGAGGAATGAGAGAATTAAAAAGATATCGATTGGGGAGAGGAAGAAGAAGAAGAAGAAGCAATCAACATTATCCATAAGCCGTCTCTCACTTCTCTTCATCTCCTTGAAAACATTGGGCCTAGTCGAGCCTTCATATATTTGGGCTTACTAAAGTAGAAGAATCTACAGACCAGGATGGTATAATGGGCCAGACGAGCCGAAGCGTATCAAGCGATGTTCTTTCCAGTCATGCAATTTTCCCAAAGTAGAAGAATCTATATGTATGTTACCATGCATAAATTCCTTTTTAACCCTTGTAAGTAGAAATCATTTTTTCATTCATATCTTATATCTTGTATTTTGATGATATATCTTTTAAAACCATAAAAAAATATGATAAGTTAAACTCAAGTATTATTATAGTATTGATTTATAAAAATACAATAAACCGTGATGCAAAACAAGTTTAGTAGATAAAAAATCAAGGGTTTGCTGATTAAGAAAAAGGAATGATGTGCCTTTTTCTTTTTATCAAATTTTAAAACATTAAAAACCAAAAAAAGTGGGTGTTGGACGCAGGGGGGACTGCAACTACTTTTAGAATCGAGCACCATTTCCTTCAAAGCTCCTAAGGTTTTACTTTTTGGCTTTTTGCTTCTTCCTATCCAAAGATGTTAAACCAGCACCTAATCCTGCGGGAGCACCTACGTTCGCTGCTTTCCCGTTTTCAGAGGATGCTTTCTTCTCTTCTACCTTTGCCTCCCCATTTTCCCCAATTTTCTTTGAAGAATCTGAACTGACCACTTGAGAGAGCGGTGGCATAGCTTGAACTGGAACACCACCATGGGGACGAACCAGTAGCCCCTTGGCAGCTGCTTTCTTCCTAACTTCAGCTGCAGCACGAGCCGCTCTTTCATCAAAACCTCTGCCCCGAGGTTGAGCCTCCCCGAGTACAGCCGCATTCATTGCATTATTCCTCTCACTAGCTGCTGCTGCGTTTTGGAACGCCTCTATCAGGTCTGGACGTGCCTGTTGCATTTCATTAATTTTACCAAAAACTGTTATTTTCAACTCGATTAACATCAATTGTAAACAATTTGGTGATTTTCAGCAAAGATATGCCAGAAACTAAGTTGCAAGTGAGATACCTTCAAGAGATCGATAGCCTTTTGCGTGTTGGCCGCGTTAACTGCATGTCCTTTCTGCTTTTGTGCATTTTTCTGATGCAAAACCCAACCAGGAATTTGAGAGATATAGAGAGAATGTATACATATATAGAGACGTACTCCTCAGTCATTATCGTAGCACAAACCTGAAGCTCACGCATCTCAAACGTCTTCATCCAGTTTTGAGAGTCTTTTGTCCTCGAATCATCCTCTCCCAATTGTTTGACAAGTATATCGTAGGTTTTCTTCTCATGCTGACCAACACAAAACAATTGCTTCAAATGATGAGGCAAAGTAGAGGATTCAAAAGCCTTGTACAAGTTGTAATACCTGCTGTGAGAGTTTGAATAAACCCATACTGTTGCACGCAATCGCAAGAGCGTGGTAGCACACTGCAGTCTGAATGTGTTCGGGACCAAGAAGTCTCTCATTTTTCTTCAAAGCGTCTTGAAGATAACGTAGAGCTGTGTCCATTTTTCCCATATCTTGATACATCATGGCAACATTTATAAATGTGGCTGCAACATCTGGATGATCTGGGCCAGAAGAAAGGCCAAGTAATAGCAAGGCACGGCCCATGTTCTGTAGAGCAAGTTCTGTCTGATTAAGTCCATGATAGAAAAGAGCCATATTGCCATAGCTGCAGTTCAGATACCCAAGTAAGTGACATATATCAATCCACAGAAAAGAACAGGAGCGAACTGCAAGTCCTGACTTCAAAATGTTAATCAACTGGAGTAATACTTCTAATGAATTGAGGACGAAGAGCTACATTCACTTTAGGATAGTAAAAAATGTCTCGTCCAGAATATTTGAAGTAAGTCGGATGCTAAAAGTTCGTTAGTTTCCAACTCAGATCGAGTTACAATATAAGAAAGATAGTTGATACCTGTGAGCAGTATCGGGATGGTCCAAACCAAGGCATCGTTCATTTATGATTAGTTCCTTGTGTTGCTGCATAATGGCACCAGCCATATCTCCTGCATGGTACAAAACCATGGCCAGGTACCTGAAAAGCGAAGGAAGACGAAAAAACTTAGCAACTAAAACGGAAATAATTAGATAATAACAAAAATCAAACCGAAATAGATGATCGGTGGAACAGCATTACCTGCAGCAGTTTGCGACTTCCCTGTGCATTGGACCAGTCACCTGTTGAAGTATTGAAAACGCCTCTGAAAAAAACGTGTATGATTCACTAAGCATGCCCTACAAGAAGAGATTAATCATTTTAGTAAGACAAGGACCCTTCATGATGTAACAGGCGGAAACTAAAACAACTAACGTGTAGAGCTACCTCAGACAGTTGGAGTTTCCCCATCTCAACGAGATTTTTAGCCTCAGAGCACACAGGGACTGAATGCTTAATAACAGCCCGAAGATCCAATACATCTGATGCCTCAAAAGGCGAAGAGGCACTAAAGTCATATTTTCGAGCAGCGACACTAATACCAACCTGTTAACAGAAAAAATATTGGTCAATAACAATGATTCACAGGCATTAGTAACTAAATTCTGAAAGAGCAAGAAATGTGTTTCTATAAATACCTTTTGGCAAAGGTTACGGAGAACAGGTATTTTTTTAGCTGTAGTTCTTGACAGCTCGGGCAACTCAAACTGAAAATAAGATCACATTAGCTTCAGGTAATAGACAATAAATCAAATAAGTTTAATTTGATCATGATTACTATACCTCATACTTGGCTTTGGAAAATTCCTGAATGTCAGACCACAGACTGTTGGAGTCGACCATCATATACGATGAAAGACTTTTCTTTGCAGAAGCTTTTCCTTTCCCTCTTCCTTGACCCTTTTTGGTGATAGATTGATCCTGTCCAAATTCAAGGATCAGTATTGTACCTTATACAAATCAGAAACAGTTATAGACTGCTCTAAATAACTGAAATAGCATAATTCATGAAGAACAAACATGGAACTCTAGATAGACAAACTCTGACAGTGCAGACAAACCTTCTTCTGATTTTTAGCATGCAAGCTGTTGGTGCTGGCTTTTCCCCCAGCAGCTACATAGTTTCCGAAGAAACAGTTAAGGAAATGAGAGACCGCTGCTCCAATATCGTGATCCTCTATTTCTCTTAGAATGTCCTGCATAACCATGTAAAAGTTTTAAATAATGATGCACAAAAATCAAATTTTCAAATCTTAAAATCTCCTGCATGTACCACAATATACGAGCTTGTCAACTGAGACCATAAATCTTGTTCGACCATGTTTATTGTGGTATAATTTTTACAAACTTTATAATTACCTTGAGAATGTGCTTCGCGGATCTGACAGTAATCTCATTTAGACAAAGATCCCACAAATGAGGCAAATGCTTCACTCCATTAGCAATCTGGCCATATACAGCCATTGTTAATAAAGTCAACCATGGAGATATCTAATAAAGTGATAATGACAGGTGACGAACTTACTCTTCCAATGTAACGAACATTAACACCATGAGCATGGAGTGCTTCAGTCAAAGTCTGACCATCCATTGGGGAAACTTCCAGATTGCAAAGATCTTCTACAAATTTTGGAAGTACCACATCCAAAAGGTATGAGCTAACTTTCTTCACATTTTCTTCATCAGCAGCTATCTCCTGATTAAAAAAAAAAGAAAGAAAGAGAAGAGCATCCAATTTGTTAAAGAAACATCAAGAAATGATCTTAAAACAAATCACTTATAAGCAATATAGCCTACCTCTTGTGTGCCACCTAATGTGAAGTCAGTGAAGACATTGGGGTTAAATGCTATTTCATCACATGATTTGGAACTTTCAGAAGATTCAGTTGCAGAATTGTGGGCACTGGTTTGTTGCTTTTCTGGAACAGTTTTCTGCAGAAAACTCATAGATATCAGCAACTACAATTTCCTTTAACTTAGTTACAGCTGTTCACATACATTTCAATTGAGCATTAGCAAGCAAGGATGGGAAAAAAATCTCAGCGCAAAAACAATCGGAGGATTTAATAACCGAGTTCACTTGTATTAGCATATAAATTAAGATGTTATTTTCATCATCGTAACAGAGGCCAATCCTACTTCGTATTTTGGCTGTCTGATTTTTCACATGACAAACATTCAAAGAGGGAAGCACATACCTCAGAAGTGGAAGCTCCGTTTTCCTCTCCGTGGATCAATTCATCACCAGCTTTAGAAGTATCAACACTAACATCAGAAGGATCAGAAACACTATCCGCCCCTTCATCAGTCTTGCTTTTAGATTTTGATTTTTCAACAGCTTGGACCTTCATCATGAAAGTATATTGTCAAAGGAAAACTCAAAGGAATATGTTTCTACGGAATAGAGAATATGCACCTGGCAAAATGATGTGATCAGCTCTGGTCTTAGGACACAAAAGCGTGACTCTGGACCCGTATAATTGGCATCACGGGGTGTCACTCTCATCAAGTCCAAAAGATAATGCCTGTTATCACTCCCAACAATCCCCTTGCACTCTACTGGTGCAGCTAACTTGAAGACATTTTCGGAAGCATCAATAACAGCATGCTCCTTTATATGAAGAAGTTTTGCAGCCTCTAGCACCTGATGAAGGAATAAATCAGGAATAAAGAGTTCTCCTAGGCAAACGTAGTCATATAATCAATTACATATAATAAAAAATGTACACATGGATCAGTAGTACAACTATCACATTAGTGCCTACAAAATTCAACAGCAAGACAGACTGTATATCCATTTACCTTAGCATGAAAATCTTCATTCCAACATATTTTCTTGCCATTATCGACTGAACCATATAAAAGTGCATCGGATTTATCCCCTTGAAGGATGCCTGGTAGAACACTCTAGAACACAAATGAAACATATTGCAAGCTATTAAAATATACACAAGCAAGATACAGATGATCTCAAGAAAAGGACTTGGGAGGTTCAGTGTTAGTACAAACCTGAGCAACAACCCTATGACCTCTGTAATCAATTATAGCCATTGCCAGATTATATAAGCCTGGGACATCTGCTTCTTGATATAACTTTGTGCCTTTTAAGTCGTTGTTTGCAGAGGCATACGTTGCCTGCTCATTTTCAACAAGGGGCGCTTCATTACAGTTGTTAAGCTCTGCATTATGTTCTCCATCGCAGGTTCCTTCTGTGCATGGAAGCTTTTCTGACGAGGACACTTTCTCAGTCACCGAAAGATTACTTGATGGACGTTTCTTGGATAGCTGTTCAATGTCGGCATCAACAGCAAAACTGAAAAAGATATTGTTGTGCACATACCTACAACAGTGGAACAATAACATGTTTTCAAATTTGAGACGCTAATGCAAAAAAATTAACATGTTAACATCTAAACGCTCCAAATCGTTTTTCCATGTTTTAGCAAAAGCGAATCATTTAACCGACAAAATTTCATGGCAAGAGTGGGCTAAAAACAATAAAGCATATGAGTTGACAGTAGAAAATCAACGACAAACACTGACATGTGCAGACACTCTGGATCAGTTGGATTTATGGGTGGTATACATCGGCTGATTACACCGATTGCTCCATTAACCGCCGCATCGACAAAGTCAGACGACACTTTGTAAAGAGCCCTGTCACGTAAGATCCTGCAAAGAAGGAAATTTTCAAAATGAAGCAATCTACAAAAGTAACAGGTTTCCAAAAGAAAAAATTTCACGCTACCAAAAAATCGCTGTAGTCTAATATCACATGTACCTTTCTTGAGGAGTAGTGTGAGGAAACTCCCTGCAAGATTGCAACTCTTCATTCCAATCTCTTTGCATACCAATCAGCTCACTACCATAGGAAATGGTCAATGCTTCTTCCGCTCTCGCTGCATCTCGCTTGTGATCTGAGCCAGATACATGCCTATGCTCAGATATAATAGAAGAATCTTATTTTTTACTGTATTTTTGTGGGAATGGGGAGCGAAGGCCACTTAGTTTTAATTTCCTTGCATATCAACCACATACACACAGGAACTTCTCTTTTCAAGAAAATAAGTATGTAGTCGATAAACAAGCAATCAATTTTACAACAAATTACCAATATATTAATTTACATAAATTAGGACAAGAAAAATCGTAACGAATCTCCTAGAGCGAATTATTACTTGGACTTTAAGATGCAGTTACAAAGCGACGTAGACAAGAAAGGGACATCGAGGATCTACTACATATTATGAAACTACGATCAAGGCAAAGCTTTCTTTAAAATAAGGTTTTTTTCAACTTCAACCGCACTACTCCTCAGGGGGCCATATTAATATCTCAGAACAACTATCAGTCCTTATAACTGGAAATATGGAGAAACGTTCACTAAAAGAACCAGTTGAGCTGGCCTCAAAAGGACAGCCAGTCTACTAAAGTACATTAGGGTACAGAACGCAAAAGCAAACGGCAGTAAACAAGTTCCATCTGTCCAAAGTTGATATGAACTGAAATGCAATTAAAGTAAAACTCACCGGGAACGGGATACGATCTAAGCCATGAGTGTGGTGGCAAAAGCGATTGAACATTTTCAAAAGGATGTGCAGAGGCTTTCTTTTCCATGACCTCGCGGAAAGCTTCGATGTAAAAGGAAAAATAGAAGATGTGGATGCTAACTATCAAGTCATAGAAAAGATAAATAAATTCTAAGAAGAATCACATCTATAATGGTTCCCACCTTTTTTAAACTTAGAGCTAAGTTTTTGCAATAATCCAATAAGAGTGGATGTTTCGAATCCAGATTTACTCGGCCTTGGATCGAGAATATTCCCTGAGCTAGAATTAACGTAAAACGCCTTTGTGGTACCCGTGATGCAGTATTTGTTTCCTTCCAGCGTCACAACATCCAAATAAATTAAGTCTCCTACAAGCCTGTCATAAAGAATTCATGAGATATAACATAAACAATAAACTTATGACTCTACAAATTGTCAAAAGCAGCTGATTTATACCTTCTGTGGCTTGGGGGAGGATTGAAAGAGGAGAACACAATGCTCTCCACACATTTGATCTCTTCCGATGGAGAATTTATCAACTTCCTGAGAGAGCTAGGTACATCTTCCATGAAACCCAGACATTCGAGCTCGGGGCCGTTAGATTTTGGTTTGTCTGTTTCACAAAAGAAGCAAGGATTATACTCTTCACAATGGAAACGCAAGACTATTAAAGCAAAAAACCATTAAGAATAAGATAAAACCTCCAGGATTCTGAACTTTGTTCAGTGCTGCGTCATATTGCAAGGCAAGCGTTGTTGATAGGGAAGAATGAAGTGTCGAAAGCGACAAGAGATCTCTAGCACGGTGAACATGAGCCCTGATCGATCTATCATCATATAACGCTGTAGAAAGATACATATCAATCAAGTCAACTGTCAGAAATTGATTTCAGACTATAAGAAATGAGAGAAAAAACGGTCTTAGCATACCTGCAATCATTTCCAAGGAGCAACCACCAGTGGTGATGTCAGCTACTTCAGAGATCTCATTGTAATCTTCCAGATGATGGGTCTCCCCATCCTTATTGCGGAGCAACAACTCATAGCACGTGAAATAACACGTCTCTGGGGCATCAAGGAGGAATTGCCTAATGTCCATCACTGAATCTCCAGGGTTTAACTGCAAAACAGATCCATTGGACCGATTCAGTAACTCAAACCAATACATAAATCACTGAAGGATTCGAAAAATTATGTGAATTTCTAAGATTGAACCAATAGTTAATAAGCAAAAAAAAAAAAAACTCACCTGTAGCTCCATTTTACCGCCACTTTGTGTTTTGACAGCAACAGGGTAAAGACGAAGTTCACCTGTGAAAGCCAAGATAATCTAACGCTTAGAGCAATACGGAAGAGGGTGTAAATGAATCTGCTTTGCTTAAGACTTAAGAGAAAACTACACACAGCAAATGATATTATACACGATTTGAGTGCTTCCTACTAACCTTGCTTGGGTTGGGCATCGTTAGTTTCTACTTGCGATTCGGTTTCCTCAGCCTTAGGAAGCGGGGGAGGAATTTGATTAGCTTCAGGCACGGCAGCTTCAACAACACTGGCGGTTCCATTATCGGGAGCAGGAGCAGATGCAGGAGCATCGGGTTGAAGGGCAGGCTCAGTGGAACTCGCGGCAGAGCTCTGAGCCGCTCTCTTGGCCTTCGATTTGTTCGACTTCCCAGCCATTTTCACCTAGTTGGAAAGGAACGAGAGAGAGAGAGAGGAGTTAAGAGGAAATGCGAAGGCAAATGATCGAATAAGCATGCGAAAATGATTGAATTAGAGAATCTGATTCAATTGATGGAAACAGAGGAGAAGGAGCAATACAATCCAAAAAGGGGAAAAAGTCGCGGATAGATATAAAATCAACGGCGAGATGGAGAAAGACCATTAGCAAGACTAATAAAAGGTTTAGTAGAGGATCTGAAGAGGATTAGTCTGAAATACCTTGAATGGGATGACGGCGGCGACGACGGAGAGAGCGGCGGAGTAGGAAAGAGATGAGGTTTAAGGAGGGTTGAAGTGAAAGAGGCGGCTGATGATTTTCTGACTCCTATGTCTTAGAGCTGAGTTAGTAGGAGAGTCTGAGAGAGACAGAATCAACCACACTCCCTTCGGGCTTTATTTGTTGGGCCTTTTCCTGGGCTTTTCTTTTTTTAACGCGGGAATGATACACGATTTATTGCAAATCGTCTGAAGTTAAGGAAGTTTTAGATTCCCCCTTAATGATACTTAATCACTGACCACAATAGATTATGGTATGGCTACGAGAATTGAGAAACCGGTGAGAACAACCGTAGAGAAGGTGTCTATATACGGGCTAACCCGTCTCATTTAGTCTGTGGCGGGGCCAGCTCACTAAAATATGTGATCTTTAATATGATTAGTCTTAATCCGTTCCGTTTTACAAAGTTTTCTGGTGTATCTGTAACCGTCTAAGCCTTTTAATTAAGCATATTCTTCTCACCTATATGAGTACGAACTTTTGTTTACGTGTATCTTTTGCTTTCTAAAAGTACATAAATGTTTATATACGATCAATAAAACATAGAATATTAGCCACATTATAGTTTTGATATAGTATCATTGTTATGAGAAGATTTCATATTAATAAAGCAGATTATGCCATAACCGGTAAGGAGATGTTTTGTATCAACAAAGCAAAGACGGCACATTTTAATTTTTGAACTTTTTGTCACTATTTTCTACACGTCTATAGCTTTATAACTGTTTTTTAGTTCTATTTTCAACTGTTGCATGTATTATCTCTTAACTTCTTCTTACGAACTAACTATTCAACCCACTAAAACATACTATGTCCTATACCCCAATCTCTTATCTTGCTACTAATTTAATGTGTTAATTTGTTTTCTTCTTTTACCACTGTCCTATATCTTGCTAAAACATACTACATGTCCTAATTCCTTTACTCCATCACTTACTACTGGTCAAAAGCTTTGTACCGTTTTATACCTAATAACACCAGTGAACCGTAGAAAGTATTAACTAAACAACGCAAGTTGTCAACAGTTGGGTTTTATGGATGTTGTAATTTTGTGGGCTTGATCCATTGATCGAAGACTAGAACTCTACAAAGAGTGGGAAACACACGGAGTAAGCGTGGGGGTATTTGGTTGTGAGGTAGGAGAGAGGTAGGAGAGAGGTGTGTAAAGGCATGAAATGACAACCCCTTCTTCGTATATAAAGAAGCATCATCCCTTTGCATCATGCATCATCTCATTACCTTTACTGTTTACATGATGATGAAAGCCACGAGTGTTGTTGGGTTAGCAATGGCACTGCTCATGACCACAACGGTTCTTACCATAGTGACTGCACAGCAAGTGGACCAGCAACCACCTCCACCGATGTTACCAGAGGAAGAAGTGGGAGGATGCAGCAGAACATTCTTCTCGGCGCTGGTGCAGCTGATACCGTGCAGAGCAGCAGTGGCTCCATTCAGCCCCGTCCCACCCACCGAGTCGTGTTGCTCTGCCGTTGTCACACTTGGCCGTCCTTGTCTTTGCCTTCTTGCCAATGGACCTCCACTCTCTGGCATTGACCGCTCCATGGCTCTTCAGCTTCCTCAGAGATGCTCTGCTAATTTCCCTCCCTGCGATGTCATTAACTAGGACGAGTTCTAGGACCGGCCTATCTATCTGTTTTCTTTTCCCCTCACTTACCTTTCAACTCTAATAAATACGCTGCTTAGTGTCCTATGTTCCCAGATTTCTAAAACATTAATAAAGATATGAGAATAAAATCGAAATCTCAGTCATTTCAAAGCAACAGATCCACTGTATCCCAACTGATACAGCTCTATTTGCACACAGGAATTTTCTTAGGGGGGAAGAAAACAAATCCAACCCATACCAACAATTCAATTTATCAGCAATCTAAAAACTTAACGTTATTTTTTAATAGGAAAGCAAAAGCTCAGCCTGGGCTGGGTGGGGTAGGAGATAGCTCATGATTGTGCACATCACGCTGATTAGTACTTAGTAATACGCCTTCCTGGGATTCCCCTGTAGAAGCAATTGAGCGAAAGGTGAGTAAAGAAGTGCTATTACAAAAATAATGGAGCTAAAAGATAGGCAGAAGTACCAGTGGATTGGGTCTGTGTTTGTAACCCAGCATCATTCGCTTCTTGTACTGCTCGTATATATCATCCTCAGGCTTAACCTCTCCTGGAGCAGAAGCCCCAACTCCCAAGTTGTTTGTCTTTACATCGCCCGCCATTAAAGGATCTGCCATACCCTTTCTCGAGCTTCCTATACCTTCACCTGTAATCCACTCCTCCAATTTTCTAAGCTCCTTGTCTCCATAAAGGCACAAGATACAGAAAGAAACAACGGCACAAGTTTACAGATAGAGCGAGGCAAGTAAGCACCTTCTTTCCAACCCATTTTTGACAAAAGCTTGTGTCCGACATTATCTGCTTGAATCTTAGCCTTCTCAGCTGCCTCCTTTGTGGCTTTTTGTGCAGCTGCATCGTTACACTTTGCAAGGAACTTATCTAGCTCCTCAAGTGGGATATAATCACCCATGTGATGACCTCTCTTTCCAGGGTCTGTGGAGGGAGTTGCTGAAATAAAATGTGGTCGCCGATAAGACATCACAGCTGCCTAAAATCAGAAATAGCAACAGGATTCATTCTCACCAGATGGGCCTTGAAGTGAAGCTGGCGGAGGCATTTCATCTTTTGACTGCCTAGGACGTCTCATCTTCTCTTCTTGAGCAGCCTTCTTCATGTAAAATTCCATCATTGATATAGGGTCTGCACCCCTCGGCGCACTATAGGAGTCACCTGCAACTTAAGACATATGTAACCACAAGCAAAGCTAGATACCAATAATAGGAGGGAACCTAGGCAGATACAAGGCTAACTGACTTACTGTTGCTAGCTCTTGGAATTGATGCCTGAGCAGATCTAGAGGAAGCTCTAGGTTCCTCAGGAGCATCATAGAGAGCTGAAGCAGGGATCTGATAACCTGTTTGTTGCTGAGCTGGCTTTTGCGAAGTGATTGCTGTTGTGGACGTCCGCGGGCCAGCATCACCTGGAAAGATAAAACGAAGGAAACCAGCATTAAGAGTACACCAAGATGTGTTAGCCGAACAAGCAGCCTCACATTATACCACATGCTACAGAGCATATATAGATTCACATTATAGAAAATTCTAGATAATGTTTGGAAAAAAAGAATTGAGACATATTCTTTGCACATGCTCAGCTAAACATAATTTGAAAGAAATAAATAAAATCAAGAAAACCAGTTGCATGATTTTGGTCATATATAAACACAAAGGTGTGGTGTAACAATTACCACTGTGAAGTACACCAGATTCCTTGGTTTGTGAGATAGTTTTTTCCTCTTCAGACAGCCTGAATGCATAGTACTTGTACTCCGCACAGCTCTCGTCAAAAAGAAATCTGGTTGGAAAACAGGACACACGATACATAAGGCAAGCAAACCCTCAAGAAAACCCAAGTACCAACTTAGTATGTATACATATAACAGAGCGAATTCAGAAACATTAAACTGTAAATGCTCCAAAAGAAATGATATACATACTTAAATGGTGTATCCCCAGGATTCTTCTGCCGTGTAATATGCTCAAATGGCCTTCCATGTTTAGCAACAAAGCTTGCTAGTTTATCAGCAACTTTCTTCACAGTAGGATCACTGGGCGAAGGTGGTGCTGCACATCACTTATAAAACTGATTAATACCGAGTCCATGAACAACGAATGCAAATCACTCTTGTAGCAGGCGTGGCAGATATTCCAAATCTTTCCAGCAATTGGATTGTTGGTTAAGGAAGACACTGCATTTAAGCAGACAATTAAATCTCCAGACTGTTCTCCCCTCTCAATTCAAGAGAAAATTGCAGCTTGACCAATAAAGACATACACTAACAAGGACGTGGGCTTCTGAAATCTTAGACTTAGGACTAATAGGCCTACCTCATTTTAGACACATAAAGACATGCACTCTAAACATTATATGGCGTATTAATTCCTAACCCTCCTGGAGCGATTAGTAAACAGAATAGAAAACACCTTACGAGGACACGGAACCATAAAACACAAAGCCAAGTACAACCATCGCAGAGACTCCCAGAAAGACCCACTCAAACGCAGATATATTTATATAAATAGCCATTACCAACATCTGACAGTTTCGTTGACTTTAGGGATGTGTCTCCCTGCTCCAACTTTTGACGCTTTGCAGATCCAAAGCCTTGATCAATGTTTGTATCCTCCTCATCCTCATCATCCTCCGTACCAAGCTTTACAGGAGGTGCGAGGAGCTTAGACTTTTGTTTCAAGCTGAAAGCAAGCTTACCACCTTTCTTCTGAGCATCATTGGACTTTAATCCAACGGAGCTTTTATTAACAGAAGGCCTAGGATTTGAAATCCCAGATATTATCTTCACAGGCTTAGAATCCTCTACATGGGAAACCTTATCCTTCTCTTTATCTTTCTCCTGTTGAAGCTGTCGAAATCTTTCCATGAACGACCCATCATTCACAAACATGCTAGGAGGCGCTCCTTTCTCCATTGCCAACGAACGAGCCAAGTACAATAGCTATATGGAAGTCACTGTTCGACAGATAAGCTCTCAAAGTACTTTAGAAACGACTTTAAACTCCCTTCAAATTCTTAAGCAAATTACGATACAAGAAAAATACAAGAGCAAACTAATTCTTCCGATAGGATTCAATAGAAGCAAGTACTTAAAGGCGCATAATTGTCCTGGATTCCATCGAATTAGAAAATCAAAATCATATCTATCAAACGCCTAGGATATCAAGATGAAGGCAACTAGTGGTGGAAAATCAAAATCTCAGAATCTCAAATCAAGCCTCGGAATTAACCCAAAAAAACCCAGAATCAGCTAAGAGCGAGAAAATAAAAAATTGAAGAAGGTACAGGAAAACCTAGGCTACAACAATCAATCGAGTCGGAAGCAAACGAAAATAATAAAATTTAGATCCAGAGACGACAATTGATTCAGCTAAACAATCGAAAAAACACAAAGAAAACAGAAAAAAAGCGATCTTCTCACCTGCGTCGATTACCGCTCTCAAAAGTCGTCGGAACCAGTGGGGCAACACGGGAACGGAAAGCCAATGATCGGAGGAATTGAATTGGAATCAGAAAATTGATTTGTCGTTCGTCTCTGATAATCTATATATATACACGTAGGAGGCCCCTATTTGTTTGTTTTTTTCAATTCGATACCTAAGGTTTCTTATATTGTAGTATGGGCCCAAAAAGTTTTTCCCATATTTTTCAAAGTTGTTTTCTATTAAAATTAAAAAGTAAATGACGAAAATTTAATTAAATGATACTTTAGGAACTAAAAAGAAAATTAATGGATCAATAGAACAGACTTTATTTTGTGGGCACATATTTTCTAGAGTTGTTGAAGTTAAAACTTAAACCGCATGAAAACTATAACCGCATGATATTTTTCAAACATTTTGTAGAATGATGTTTTTGTGATGTCAAACATAAGTTTTTTGGCTTTGAATAATTGATAATTCATGCGTAGAATATAATCCAATGACTATATAGTTGAATGGACTTCAGATGGCTGCCAAGATTCGAAGTACTTAGTAGAATAAAATGTGTTTGATTAGAAGAGTTTAGTAGCGATTTTCTTTTAGACAGCAGAGAATAACTTTATTCTTTTCTTTGGGTTTTAAATTTTTAATATGAGACATACAGATATTATTCTAGAAAACAAATAAAAAACCAAACATGACAACGAAAGAATGCCAAATACAGAATCACATTTCGGATTCAAACCCGATGTTCCAAAATCCTTCAGGAGTCATTGGAGGAGCGTATTTGTAACGATGCCTCGACACACCTTCATGATGTTCGCATCTCAAGCTTTTACCATTTCCTTCATTCTCAGGAAGAACAGCATCATAGAATTTCTTGCATTGCTTACACTCTATCCCTTTCAAATTCTCCCTCTCAGCTTTTTTCCTAACAGATTCCACATGCTTGAAACCTTTTTTACTCGTCTCTGCAACTTGAATTCGCTGCCTTGATGGACTCGGTTTAGGATTCATATCCTGTGTCTCCTCGTCTGAATCATCTTTCTTATCAGCATCCTGAACATGTTTTTCTTCCCCAGCGACCCTTTTGACATTCTCAATGGGAGTGTCTAGAAAATCATCATGAGGATCATGGCCTCCAGGGGATTGCCGAGACCTTGTGTCTCTCCAAATGGAAGCTGGGCGCTTTAATCCGCTTAGCTGTAGGGATTTTGCACCAGAAGAAGGGTCACTTCTAACACCAAGTGACCGCACAATGGGTGAAATGGAAATAACTGGTGTCTTCACCGTTTTGATTGTACTCTCTTTCTCACAGCTGTTACTCGAGCCAGTACCGATTCTCACTTTGTCTGCGTCTTCAGCAGTTTCTGAGTGTTTACTTGCAAGAGCTGTTATACAATGAGAAGAAAAAACATCTGGATGAGTTTACTAATGCTAACAAGAAACCTGCAGCTGAGTCATATGACTGATTATAAGCAAGTAATTTAACACGAGAATTGAAGTTAAAAGTAGAGCCAGAGACTGCTATTACTTACAACTTGAGATGGCTGGTTTCTCATGTTGTTCCATTTGGTTAGTCTCATCCTGAAGGTGGCTTTGCAGAAGAGCACTGTCAGTAGTGAGACCGAACCTTTTGCAGAGATAATTATATTGGGACTTCAGCTTTTTGTAAGCAGTGAGGGTATCTTTTCTTTTCTTTATCTCCGTAGCTAACTCAAGTGATTTCTCCTCACTCTGACAACGTAAAGCTTCTAAGTCAGCCAAGTCGCTTCCATGTTTGACCTGCATATTCATATCACCAAGTTCATCCCCAGATGCCTTTGCTTTCCCCATAACCACTGTCTTTTCTTTCTCAAGATGTTCAATCTTTTGTTTACACTCCAACATTTGCCTCTCTGTCAAGTTGAGTTTACCCTGCAAAACCTCAAGAGCCGTCCTTCCTTCCTCAAGCTCATCAGTTTTCTGCCTTAGCAGCTCTTCTAGTCTACCTACATTCTCCTCAAAAACCTGCAACCTAGATGTCAATCTTTGTTTCTCTTCTTCAAGGCTGCTTACCTTGTTTTCGCTCACTGCGGCTTCTGTAGACAAAGACTCCAGTTTCTTCAGCAGATTCTCAATCACCAAAGTTTTCTTGGAAAGTTCCTCTTGCAAAGAAGTCGCCTTTACCTTAAGGCTCTTCACTTCCGAAATCAGCATTTTTATCTCATCATCGCTGAGCTCACCAGAACCCTTAACCTGTAACACCTGGACCAACCTAGTGTGCAGTTCTATGCTATGCTGAACTTGGTTAGACCTTTCCTTCGACTTCCGTTTCAAACGAGCAATGTAGTCTTCTAAGCTCTTCACTAACAAAGGCATAGAGACAAGCTTATCGAGTTCTTTAGATAGCTTCTCCTTGTCCTCGATCAAGGCCTGATTCTCAGCCTTAATGTGTTGATTCTCTAGCTTAAGCTCCTCGATCTGTGATGACATAGCTTTCTCTCTCTCTTTCCAGGCATCAGGACGAGCATCTGAAAAAACCTTCTCGAAGGCTTTGGATTTGGATTGAAAGTTTGGGAATAACTGGCTACAGAAGATGTACTCGATCTGAGATATTCTGTCCTTAGCTTCCTGGATTGTCGCGACCATTACGGTGCTGAGACCAGAGATGTACTTGGCTTCGATAACATCGACCGTTTCAGCTTCCATCTTCATGTGAAGAAAATTAGCTGCAATCAAAAGCGCAAATGAATCAGCAAAGACCCCAGGATTTAGGGTTTCTACTACCCAAATCATTTCGATTTCTTACAATTCTAATCATTTCTTCTACAAATCGAGTTAATATCTACTTAAATTCCGATCCAGTTTGAGATCTACAAAAAACAGCCTTCGAGAAAACGAATAAAAGTAAACTTACGATTTGGAAATGAAACCCACACGAGGAAGATCGAAGAAGCTTTGCTTGATTATGGAGAAGATAAGGAGTAGATGACTAATCATGAATCGAGGATCCAACTTTTAGATTTTCGCGGTGTGTTTCCCTCGATAATTTTGGAATTTTCGCGCGCCGGGATAAAACTTATAAATTCAACTTTCAGTGGAGGCTTACCCGAGAAGCTTTGCTGGGAGACCCGACCCGATTATAAGTTGGGCCATAATTTGGCAGGAGCGGACAGCTCTCGAACGGGTACAGGATCAATCCGACCGTAATTTTGGACCCAAAAAGACGGTGCCATCAATTCATTATGATTATCCCATTCAATTTAATTTATTTACTCATAAATATTAAAATAATGTGAAAAAATGGTAAGCATTCTAAAATGATTAAAATATCTTGATCTGGAAAAGTACTACTAGGACCACTTGTCTTTTCGTTCTTTTATCAATAATAAGAAGAAAGCACATTTGCATTGTGTGATACACACCAATTTGATCTACAAATTATTTCAAATCATTTTAACTAGATTTTGAGAGCACTACTAGTTTTTCCGAAGTCCACATTTTCCAAAATTTATCTTCTTCTAGAAAGTGGACTTTAAATCTAAATTTGTAGATGTTTTGTAGATTTTATGTGAATTGATTTAAGTATTTCAGTTTTACATTTTGTCAATAGAAAAAAATTACAAAATACTGAAATTGTTCGGGTCCGTGTAGTCCGATACGGCCCATAGACTGGCGGATTTTATTTAATGAAAAAAAAAAAAAAAGAGATGTAATTAAATAAAGCTGCAACGGTAACAAGAGAAAGCCACGTGCACTTGGCCGCTTATCTGGCTTGTAACGTTAACACTAACGGTTACATTCTTCTTCTCCTTTTCTTTCTCTCCAACCAACAAACAACAAACTCGCTCCTCTCTCTCTCTCTATCTGCCTGTGTTTTCTCTAATGGAGCCTGCTCAAATCGATTGGAAGCGAATCGATTCTCGTTTTGTTGAAGACGTCTTCTACGAACACATCCGAGCTCCCAAATGGGTTGATTTCTTGGCTCCAAACCATTTAGACTCCATTGACGATGATGCTTGGTTCTGCAAACCTGGTAACAATCTCTCTCTCTCCATTTTTCTCTGCATCGCTTTGATGTTCTTTACTGATTTTGGCTTCATTTCTATTCAAGACTGTAATCATCCCAAGAGACCTGAGGATTTCCTCTTAACGCCTAATTCTTCCAAGGTTTTGCTTCTCCTTCTTCTTTATTTTCTTGTTTCCTCAACAACAAGCAGGATTGGAATTTACGGTTCACTAACGCCAAATTTTCTGTTTTGAAGTGTTCAGCTCTGAGGGATACGAGTGAGATTCTAGGAGTTACGGAGCAGAATCAGAGGTACCTTGAGATGCTTCTTTAATTCTCTTCTTGAAATCTCTAACCATAGTGTTTTGCTATGGCCTTTGAATACTTTTTATTCACAAGCTATTATCCATTGGCTTGTAGGAGGAGAGGACATGCTTTGTCACCTTCTACTTCAAACAACCAAAACAGTGAAAATCAGAATCCAAACTTGGCCACGCCTCCAAGCCAACAAGCAAAATCATGGCGAGCAGCGCTTAAGTCAACTTCGGTCAAGAAGACGAATAAAGAAGCACCGAGACTAAAGAGCACACAATCAGCTAGAAATCTATTTTCAGGGAGAGACATACTTGGCCACATCTCAGAGTTCTGCTATGAGTTGAAGAGATTGGCCACTAGGGTAACTGAGAGAGAAGATACTGAGAAGTCTCAAGTGAAGGAGATTCATCAAGTGGGTGGAATAATAAATCAGCCTTATTCTGTTCATGACTTGGAATTGAAAAAGGAAAGAAAGCCATTGCTCGAAGTAAGCAAAGATAAGGTCCATGATTCCACGGATAATAAAGGAAGCACCTTTAAAGAGAACCGTAGAAGAAAGAAGTAAGTTTTTTTGCATCTTTGTGAAATTTGTTTATTTGCGAAGTGAGTTTAGTACTAACTTTGGAGTTCTAATGAGGATTTGCAGGAGAGTGGATGATGCTGAGAATATTCCAGTCTCTCTTAATGTGGAAACTGTAAATATCAAAGGAGAGGATTGTAGAAGAAAGAAGTAAGTTTTGCTGCTTCCGCATAAACTTTCTTAACATGTGTTGCAGTACAATGATATGCATAAACTTTGATGAGTTTTAGTAACTAAGGTACTAAATTTGGGATTCTGTGAGATTTTGTAGGAGAGTGGATGATGCAGAGAACATCCCGATCCCTCTAAAACTGGAGAATGTAAAGAACAAAGGACACGAGCGGTTGCTGCAAATCAGAACAAACCCACCATCTCCTCAGTGCTTCTCGGAGAACCGGACAGCTTCTTTGAAGGCCTTTAGGGCCAAAACTACGGTATGAAATCACATAGCTCTCTTCCTTTTCCTGCTAAAAAACAGGCACATACGAGCTTGAAGTCTGAAAAGAAAGACCCTTTTAGTCAAATCCTGCAAACATCAAGAAAGTAAAAGGAACTTAAAGAACAAATTTGGGTGTTTTTTGTGTGTGGGTATAAACAGGAAAAGGGAATGGTCGAAGAAGTGGTGAAGAGAAAGGAAGAGGAGGAAGCAGAAGAAGAGAAGAACAGAAAGAGTGGAGAAAGCAACAAGGAAGGGAGAGGCTTGGACGTTCTCTGGTTCCTAAAGCCTTGCACAATGGCCAACTAAAAAAAACTTTTCATTATCACCAATTCTTTTTCTTATATTGATTCATTCTTTTGTTAATTTCATTCTAGATATTCAACTGTAACTAAGGAGATGATGATGATGATGATGATCTTGATCAGATTCGACATGTAACTCAGAGCAATTTATCAATTTCACTTTTACATACAATAAAATTTGTTTAAATAAAGAGTTAAGAGAACAAAAAGAGGGTTTAGATCCATCTCTAATTATTAAGATCAACAACAACAACCAAAAAAAAGAACCTAAATCTCCCCCCTATCATCGATCTCGAATTATCCCAAATCGAAAACATATACGTACGTGATCAACACAAGACAGAGAGAAACATGAGATATGTAATATCTACAGAGAAAGAGAGAAGGTAAGAAGAAGAAGACGAACAATTTAAGAAGGACGGCGAGAAGAGGAGAAGAAGCAATCGAGAAGCCTAGACCAAGCAATTCTGGCGCGAGGAAAGAGTCTCCGGCTATAAACCCTTCCTTCCATTCCCATCTCTTCCATCGTCTCAACGAACACCGTCAGACATCTCACCGGCGGTATGTACAGCGTTAACGGCGCCGCCGAGAACGCTATCGTGAAGAACAGCTGTAACATTTTTTATCTTTCTTCTTGCTTTTTTTTTTTTTTTGAGATCGCAATTTTGATTTTATAAGTTATTATTATTACTACTACCTAACAAAAATGAAATAGCGTAAGAGGATTGATTTGGAGGAGATAAGAAGATCGGTTTCATCACATGTTACATTCTGTTTACAGCTCCCAACTTTCCAATTTTTAACTTTATGTTTATCTATCTCATATGATTCCTGCCTTTTCTAGTATCTACTCCTGTATTGTAGTTATGTTGGGCCGACACTTTAAAATTGAGAGTTATTCGATATATTTATTTACCATACTATATCTAAATGTCGTTTCAAAAAAACTAATGTAAAATTGTGACTCTTATTATCCGTAGGGGTCCTAGTACTGGTACGACATGTTGGTAAACGCGTGGCAATCACCAAATAGCATCTTGTGTTGCGTTGACTTTGGTGTTGGACTGGTTAGCGCTGTACAATTCGAAGCCCATAGAATATTATTGCTTGAAATATAGCTCAACAAAAGTTAAAACGGGATTGGTCGATTTCGAGGTGGTTTTGAGTTTTTATAAACTTACAAGTTAAACAAAACCAAAAATAATTCCAAAGCTTTTGAAATTTCTTCAATCTCTTATTTCCCTCAGCAGGTTACAAACACTACCGTCTTCTTTGTATATATTTTTTTTCTCACAGGCAAATAAGAAGCTAATCTAATTAGCCGGAAAAAAAAAAGCTAATCTTGTTTCAAATTGTATATTTTTACATACATGAATCTAGAATGGTATTAGATGATAAAGAAGCTCACATGAAGAGTTCCAAAATACTCAAAAAATAGCCTCTCATGTCCTCGTCCTCTTTTGCTTCTGAGGAACAAATCGAACCCCTTGCTTCCCGAGCTCCACCGTCTTCACTTTTCCATTCTCAAGCGTCACCATCAACGATGTGCCTCCTCCTACTTCACTTACCACTCCTTTCTCCCTGCATTTTTTACTCATTTGTTAGAAACCTTGCAAGAAACATCTAGATTAAGACGTTCAAAGCCAAAAACAAAAATCCCATTTACCATGAATTATCTGAGGCCTCGTGTATTTGAACCTTTTTTCCTTTTGCATCTTTCCCCAACTTCTTCAGAATCCAACTAGCATCAAGCATTTCGTCTAACAAACAGTCTTCACGTGACAGTGACACATCTTCATCTTCATTAAAAGCTGACTTTTCAGCTGGAGGTGATGCTCTTTTCCTCTTAGACCTATGTCCTTTACTAGACTTACTTCTTTCATCGACAACGCTAGGGGCTTCACCGTCTTGGCTCTCCGGATTATGCTTTTTTATTTTAACTTTCAGCAATCGTCTTGAATCTTTCTGCATCTCAGGTGAGCCACCATGTAAATCTCCACTGCCTTCTGAGTGTCTCCCTAAAAATCCACCTTCCCCCTTTGAAGTGGCTACTTCACCGTGAGACCCTCTCGTTTCTTCCTTCCTCTTTCCCAACGAGCTCCGGTGCTGTTCCTGGGAAGCCGTTTCTTCTGATTGTAATTTCTCATGCTTTCCTGAAATTACCAAAGCTTCTTTTGTTATGTTGACGTCGTAGTATTTTAAGCGAAATGACAAACAAATTTACAATAATTTCTTTAAAGTAATTTGTAGAGTGTGTTCCTCTCATACATCTGACAATGCAAAAAAAACTTACACTACACATACCATTGGATTTGGAGGCAAGCTTTGATACATCACAGCTCATAGGGTTTGTAATCCCCGGCTTTCGAGGGCCTATACTTATCACCAATTTTTTCGCCTTCACAGTGTTCAGCTCTGTAACGCGTTTTCCCAATTTCTCAGTATCTGAATCTTGCGGCCTGCTGCTTTTTATCCTGAGAACTCTCAGTGGCTTCTCTTCATCACCACCGACGGTAACTTTTTCAGCAACTTTTCTTTCTACAGAGCCAGGCTCATTGACCGTTGGGGCACCGCCAGTTTGCCCAAAAACTCGTGCACTAGCTCTCAGGCTAGCAATTAGCTCTTTATCATCAATATCTTTTCGCTTCCAAATTTCCTGCACAGCATCCTCAAGATCCTTGACCTAGCATCATAAATACAAATCAGCGAGACAAAATGGGATCATTCAATTTTCATTCACAGCAATCCACTAGCCTTGGAGAGATATAAATGACAAAAAGACTGCGGACCCATGAAACACACCTGGTAGCATTCTCCGCGACATGTAGAACACTTGTATTGAAGATTCCCATCCACTTGAAACTGCAGATATTTCTCATCGCTGCAATATTTGTTTGCGAAGTTTTAGTTGGATACAGAATTGGGAAACATTCTTACAGGACAGAGAAGTACAATTGGTCATATGAACTAGATTAACGATATGCACCTGATTCCATCACACGCGCAATGAACCCAGCGCTGGCAAAAGTCGCAACACACCATTGGTGTTGATTCCGAGTCCCTGTAAACCTACATGATGAAAGCAAAATAAGTTGGTGAATATGATTCAAAGCGAGACAAAGAAATGTTGCATTTAACTGCCTTTGCAATACAGATGTCTGATAGTATAACAACTGTAACATGCATAAACCTCAAACTATAAACTATGACCAAATATGAAGCGGGGAAACAGACAACACGTTTCACCATCAACAACAGAAAGAGTGCAAGTTATACCTTCAAACATACAGGACAGTAATTTCCCTTAACAAACAGCCTTCCACACGCATCACAACAAGTATGCCCCAAAAACCACCTGCAAGTTTAACAGAAACGATAAGACACCTAATACCTTAAATGAATCAATTTAAAGTATACGTCACAAAGCAAAAGTCTTGAATACCGTAAGCTTTGGCCGTTCCCAGGGACCTTAGACCCACAGCTGTAACATTTGGTGTGTTTAGGACACAAATAGGGTCCAGAACTAACACTCTGTAACATCCAGGGATGAAATTAGACCAATCCGCAAAAGACAAGATGGAAACCTTGAATAGAAGAAACAAATACTATACCTTGTGCCGAGGTTGTTGGCAATCACAATGATATGCATCATCACATCTTTTGCAGAACATCAATTTCTTTGGATCCCCTAAAGTTCCACAGGCCTAAAGGAAACATAATCAAGAGAATGTACAGGATAAATTACCTATTAATTCTGTCCAGAGGCACTCGAACTATAAACAATGTTCAAAATCTCAATATCTCATGACATCATTATGGGATATAAGTTTATAACAGATACTTTCATAAGTAAAATTCATTGTAGCCCAACGTGTAAAGAGCAGGATAGTAAAAGCGCAGGATTAGTCATTCAGCACAGAGTTGTGTCCAAACTGACCTCACAGGTTCGGCAAGAGGGGCAAGCCCAAGAGCTCCAATTAAATAAATCTGCTAGGAAAACCCGCTATAAGAATCTAGGCAGAAGAATCATAAGCATCACATTCCTAAGAAACGGTACCTCTATGTTGAGCCCAAGGCTTCAAGCAGTTTCTATGATACTTCTTGCCACAACATTTGCAAGAAAGCATCTTTGCTCTCTCACTCCTCCCAGCTTCAACCATATAGCACATGTGACACGTAACACTTGCACTGTGATGATCATGATCTTCTCCATTGAGCTCTTTGACAGAAACCTGCATAGAGGACGAAATAACATTGAAACAGGCTTGAGGGTTAAACTGGTATATGATTTAGTTTCTTGAAGACAATAAACATTCTTATCTTCCAAAAAATCAAAGGAGTTCACACAAATCCTGGTACATCATGGCTTACAGAACCTAAAAGAGCAGGACAACACCAATACACATACACAAGAAACAGATTATCAACATTACTCAACACACAGATAGAAACCGTCTCACTGAACCATCAAACCGAGGCAATTAGCAAGTCTAGCTTATCCGAGCAAGCTAAATAATTTTCTACAAGTTACCAACAAAGTCTTTCAATTTCAATTGACATAGCAGTAACGACACAAACAAGTTTCGGAAGAAGGAATCGCACCGCTAAGTCGCCAGAACCAGAGTTTGCAGCATGATCCTCAACTGCCTTCTTCAGCACCACCGTGCGTTTGCCTTGTCTCACAGTCGATGATGCAGGAACCTCCATCGCCGAATCATCACGGACACCACCAACAACATCTCTAGCCGCAATGCGAGGACCAGTATCGAAGACAGCGAGCTTAGGCACATGGATCTGAACGGTACCTTCCGTGGAAACTCCAGCATCCCAGGGGTCTCGCAAGAATTCTTCGAGAGAATGGATCTCGTTGAGGAACGTATCCTTGACTTCCTTGCCGTGAAGATTTCGAGGAAACCCCAACAAGCAGAAGCAAATTTTCCGGCTGCGAAGAAAGAAAGAAGAAAAACCCCCAAAAAGCGATTGGAACAATTCATGTTAACTCAATAAGTAAAACAACAAGCCAAGAGACTAGAAGAAGCCTCACGAGGCGCCAAAAAAAAAGAGTTTTGAGATGAGAGGAAAAAAAAATACCATGTAATTGGACAAGCTACGTGAAAGGCCATAGTCGGTTTTCAAGTTTTACGCGTCCGGGTTCGATTTTTAGGGATCTGACTTCTTTTTTTTTTCTGAAAAAAATGAATTTTGTTTAGGTCTCTTCCCAATTAAATCACACGCGCTCTTGTGTAAATAACATAAACCTAAAGTCCTAAAAGGAAATATTTTAAGAGTTTTGAGAGCTATCACCCGATCCGAACCAAAGGCTTTCAACCAATAAGGAATTAACACGTGTTATACAATACATACCAAATTCTGATTTATTTTTCTTTTTTTACGCACATAGACAAAACGACGCCGTGGCTTCAAAGGCTTTCTTTTATGGTTTTCACTTTTCAAAGAGTTAATTCATTCGCCAGAAGCTGAAGAACCCACCACTGTCTCTGCGGCGAAAGTTACCGAAGCGAAGATCTCCGATCAGCCATGAATGCCCCCGACCGATACGAACGATTCGTCGTCCCTGAAGGCACCAAAAAGTATTGAAGTTTTTGCATTACTGTAATCTTCATCTCTCTGTAATTATTGCGCTAAACTCTCTCGATTTTCCTATGTTCTTCTAGGGTTGCTTATGATAGGGACACGAAGATCATCAATGCTGCTTCCTTCACGATTGAGAGGGAAGACCATACCATTGGAAACATCGTCCGCATGTACGGTTGTCTCCCCCTAGTTGAATTTTACAGTTCTTTTTTTTTCAGAAGGAATCCCTAATTTTTTGCAGCTTTGTGCTGATTTTTTTTTGATAAGGCAACTTCACCGCGACGAAAATGTTTTGTTTGCTGGATACCAATTGCCTCATCCTCTCAAGTACAAAATCATAGTCAGGGTAAGTTAAATTGCTTTGAACTGGAAGGAACACTACGGTTCTCTGCGTTTTCTCACTTCATTGACTGACCTTAGGAACTAACTATTGGTTTAAGTACTTAAAACGTGTTAGTGTTTTGGATTTAAGCTCCTTGTGTGAACAGTTTGGTCTGGATTTAAGGGTTATCTTCCCTAGTTTTCTGAGTTGTGTTAGGAATCAGATTATAGGTTGATTAAGAACTCATTGAAGATATCTTGGATGCTGTCGTTTTAAGTGTAAAATTGGCTCTGTTTGCAGATTCACACTACAAGTCAGTCTTCCCCGATGCAAGCATACAATCAGGCCATCAATGACCTGGACAAGGAGCTTGAGTATCTGAAGAACCAATTTGAGGTACTAAAGAGTCTCTCTCTCTCTCTCCGAATCCTGATCAGATTTTATTGTACGAGACCGACTTGGTAGAGAAAGTAGGATTATCTGTTTCTTTAATCCTAGAGTCTCTTTCTCTAGGACGATCTGTTTATAATCTGCTGCTAGTTAGCTAGACGAATATCTAATCATATTGATACACCTGGCCTTACGCTTTACCCTTCTTTCCTGTGTTTTCAGGCAGAGGTGGCCAAGTTTTCGACTCAGTACTAAGGAGCTCCGAGTTCCCTATCTGCATTTCGGAAAACGTTTTACATTGTCCTCATCTAAGCACCAACTAAAAGACTTACAAAGAGCTTGTTGCTTGTATAAATTAGAAACAAATTTTCCTGTAACTTGTTTTAATTCTATGTTTTGGCTCTATTTCCGGCAGCTAAGAAATAACACTTGGATTACAGTGTCTTTTTACCATTTTATCTACCGAAACTTCTTCATATTTGAACTATTGTACAAAGCTTTTTAACAACTGTGACCTTGAAGCTACTACTCTTCCAAGCTACAAAGATAGTACAGGTATTCTTACAGGATGGTGAAATCATCGTGAAGCCCTTCTAGCTGACCTCTTGTACGCTGCTGCTGAATAATCAACATCGATGTGTTGTGGGAGAAATCTGAGCCAGAAAGAACATCACCTATGGGACCAAGCTCTGGACATTGCTGCCAGTCATTGAGGCCAGTGGTTAACCCACTACTCGCCCTTCCTCCTCCTCTTCCAACAATCACTAGCCCATACTCTCCATCCAGTGATTTAAGTGCAGTGAAAGTCTCTGAAGAGTTTGTGAGATGCTTCTCCATGTAAGACACTCTTCCTCCTCCAGCTATATATCTTTCGTAGAACTCAGCAAAACACTCATCATCAAGCTTCATTTCCTCCTCTTGCTCCACCACACTCGCTCTGTTCAGTATGCTGCTTCGTTTTTGTGCATTCTGAGAGCTCTTGTCTTCCAAGAAACGTATCACGTTTAACTTCACAACAGGATGTCGAGCCACTTGTGCAGCAAAGGCTAGTGCCTCTCGGTCGTCTCTACCACCTATGAATATAATAGCAATGTCCATGGACGCTCCTGGTCTCCATGCCTCTTCTGTTTGCCCGAACGACCTATCCACGAGAATACCTATTGAACACGGTGCGTTCTTCAGAATCTGCACACGCAAAAAAAAGCGAAATCATCTCTCTGAATCTTCAGTGACTAGAAAGGAAAACAACTGTTTACCTTGCGGTTCACATGACGGAACCCGGCGTGGCCAGAGTCAAGAGTGCCATCAGGATTTCTACGTTTATGGAAAGGTAGAATTATAATGGAAACCATAAGTTCATCAGCCAAACCGCACACGTCGTGAGCCATGGTCATAAACGTTGATAACGCAAGCATCCGCCGCACAGTCACACCTTGCCCATTACGGAGCTCACCGTAACCATTTACAGCCGCGGTTATACTCTCCCGCATCTCTGTCACCGACCTGTCTGTTATCGTCACTGAATCATTACTCTGACCTGCTCCTCCTCCTTTTTTCAGTGTGGCGGCAATCTCATCGGTCAGCTCCACCATATCTGTTGCGTAGAATATGGACCCTGGCTCACGGCCTCCATGGCAGATCTCCATAAGGTTAAGCGTAGAACCGATGTTATGCTGACCATGGAGACCGATCAAGATTCGTAGCTCAGTTGTTGGATCGAGCCATTGAAGCGCCATGATGTGTACAGGCACTCTCTTTCTTGCTCGTTTGATGATGTCCATGACCACGAATGGAGAGTAGACCACTGTGAGGACAATCACGAAAATGATCATTGCACCAGTCGTATTTTTCACCCTGTTTGTCTGCAATTTACATCGCACCAAAAAATAGAAGGTGAAGAAGATATTGTTGTGAAGAAAACTTGAAAGAAAGGAGCAAAAAGCTTGATGTATACCCGAATAGCTAGAGCGGCCAAGTAGACATGAAAATGGCCTTTAGTGGTTAAAAGCAGTCCAAGCGATGCGGTTTCCGGGACATGATATCCGAGAAGTACACCACACAAGACCGTTCCGGTGACTTTTCCGATAATAACAGTCCCAAGAAGAGCAAAGAATCTCGCCCACGCCATTTTATCTCCGATGTCGAAGTTTCTCATGTGGATTATGAATCCAACCCAGAAGAAGAAGATAGGGTAAAAGACCGTGCTGAGCAAGTAATTGATTTTGTTGATGATCCATTTCGACATCCTTCCTTGGTTCGGAAGGAAGAGACCAGCCGTGAAGGCACTGAGGATTGGGTTGTACATTGATTCAGGTGGCCAAGTTGGGAAACTACAGATCAAGACAACAAACGCGAGGGACATAACGAGGTGAGACCCTTTGAGTGGTTTCCCTTCAGGGTTCTCGTTGTTGACCCAATTAAGAAAGATTGGGGAGACAATGGAAGTGAAAGTGACTTGAGCAAGGAAGAGACAAAACATGAGGAGGGCTCTGAAGAATCTGTGGAGAGGACGAGGGAGAGGTGTCTCTGTAGGGAAGAAAATGAATCCGAAGCAATAAAACAAGGTTGAGATCATATCTGTGTGGACACCTGCGGATGATGCGAGCTTGCCAAGATCAGATTTTCTGATTTTGAGATTGGAGATGACACGAGTGAGGATAGGTGAGCCAGTGCTTGAGGCCATGAGGGAGAGAGCAAGGGAGAAGACGAAAGGAGCGGTTTTGGTGTAATGAAGGAAAGGAGTTGTGGCAAAGGCAATGACAAAAGTTGTGAACATGCTTGTGTATGCTACAAATGCGTCTTTGGTTGGTGGCCTGAGAAGGACGCTTGGATTCATCTCTAGACCCATCACGAACATATGGCAGATCATACCGAATTCGATTATGTTGTTGAGGGTACTAGAGTAAGGCCCCGAGAATGCCTCTCGAAACTTGGGAAGATTACCTAGAATCAGCCCTATCTGATGCATGACAAAAGTTAAAATTTAATTTTGAAAAACAAAGAAGAAGAATTTTAAGGAGAAGAGATTGATGTCATACGGCAAAGTCGGTGGTTAGGTAAGGTTGTCCTAAAGGCTTCATGACATGATGGAGGAGAGTTCGGATTACGAAAATGGCGATGAATCCAAGAAACTTCAAAGCCTCTTCAGGCTTGTCTAGGTTAAGGTACCATTTGTCTCCACATACGTTTTTTGTCGTCGTTGTATTCATTCTTTCTCCGTATAATTGTATTAGTCGTTCGTCTAGTATTGTGGATTATTGTTTCTTGGTGAGGAAGAAAGCTTTTTTTCGATTTGTTCTTTTGTCTTTTGATTTTTTTTTACAATTTGGTTTGAGAATGGGAGGATGTTGATTGTTTTCACTCAGAAATTGGCGGAGACACTTGTGGATCCCTTCATTCACGTTCCTTCTCTCCCCATTATTCACCATTCGTCATTTTCAACATCCTAGTCAAAATACTTTGATAATTAATTAAAATATTTTTCTTATATATAAAATCAACGTAAAATGTCCTTCTTACTTCAGTTTTTTAAATCGAGATATGGTTACAAAAAAAAAAAAATCAAAGCTAAACTTTAAAAATAAACATCTATTATATTAAAACAGAAGCACATTTATTACTTACTTCCAAACACTCCTAATTTTTTTAAATGTTTAAAAATAATTTTAATAATTATTTATATTTAATTTTGAAAATTAGTTATTAATTTAAATTTTTTTAGAGTTCCTTAAATATAGGTAATTTAGATATTATTTGATTTGATTAAAAATAATAAATCAGATATTAATTTAGATTTGATTTAAAGATTCTAATTTAAATAATTTCTATACTATTAAACATTTTTATCAAAAATATCTAGAATTTTTGAAAAAAAAAATTCACATATAAAAAATAATGGTCATATTTGAAATATAAAATATTTATAATGATGTAAATGATATGATATTTATGTTGTTTATATAAAAAATCGGGTCAAAAATATTTTGATAACTTATATCACTAATTTTGAATTATACATGTATATCGAAAATATATTTTTCATATAAAATTAAAACATAAAAAAATTAAAAATTATTGCATAATGTGGTTTGAAAAACCAATTGTTCACTCCCTTCGTTGATTAAATTTTAGAAAAACTATAATGCTAAATAATACTGTTAATACATCTCAAACTTTTAACAAATATTTATATTATACGGGAATATGAACGGAAAAATTAGAATTATGTTTTTATAATAGTTCATTTTGAATTAATATTAGTGGACGGGTTAAAATTATATTTTTATAATCATAATTAATTTTAATACTAT